TTTAAACGGCTCTTCTAGACATATATCAGAATCCGTCTTACACAGGGAGGAATAGTGAAACTGGGAGTTGACCTTGCCTCCCCTTTTTAAAGATTGAGGTAGATATGCCAATCAGTCATGAAAATCAAGCGTGGAAAGTCGCCCCTGTGTACTTTTCGCCCCAACCAGCTCCAACTGTGTGTAGATCGAAGATTAAATCGCATCTTGTGATTCTTGTCTATCGGCATGCGGGGGCGAGATTCCACTGGGGCGAAAGTGGAAGTAATCGTACAGGGTGGTCTTGAAGTAATTTGACAGGTGTACTCTAGCTTAACCATGCACCAGAGTTGAATAATAGTATCAAAACATCTGGGTAAAACGGTAAACATGGAAGCACATGCTATAAAGGGGGGTGCTACTGAAGTGACGTTATTTGTATAAGCAACAGTTACGGACTGACGTGCAAATGGTGTCCCAGCAGCAACGCCCCCCCACGGAGGACGAGACCGAAACTTCAGGTTGAAATTAGACGAGTGGTGGACCGGTCCTTCGAGTACTTTGTGCACGGCCCAAATGCCTATGTTCTCTTTTCTCATTGGAGATCCTCGTCCTTTTATCGAAAACAGGTGTCTGCATTCTTTTAGCTGGCTCTGGTATTGACGAAGTTTCGATAGAATCATTGAGAACTTCAGTCAAATCGTCATATTGCAACATCTTACAAGAAGCCCATCATTCATTTGTAATTATTTATGCGGCAAACAGGAATATTCGTTTTGAAATCGACCTCATTTACCTGAAACGGACCATTTTTGTGATTATTTGCAACTATTTCACAGGCAATTACCATGAAGAACATGCATCGGCTCGAAGAGCAATTCAAAAAAGGTGAATCGTAATGTCACTACAGTGACCAGTCAGCCCGAATTCACCTCTAGAAATAAAAATAATTCCGTGAATTTTTATGACACAAAACGACAACTTTATCTCACGCTACGCAACTAAATACTGTCAACTATCATCGCGTGCAATCGAGAGAAAGAGAGAGAGAGAGAGAAATCAGTGAGCGAAGGGCAGAGACAGCTGCCCGTTGCGATGCTGGGCGTCCACGATGGTGGAGACGGTGGTGATGGCCGTCGGTCGCACCTTCTGTCTCGACCTCGATGACCTTGACCTCGACTTGGCCCGGCGTCCGGGCGGGGTCACGGCTGCCAGGTCGGCCACTTTGAATCCCCAATCCTCGCCCTGCAAAGCGGGCGACCACGTCCTCATCGAACATTTGACTCCTCGTTGTTTATCGCGTTTCTAGATTCATCGGTCTGCAAAACGGCATTTTTACAAATCCAAAGATAATCCTAATCTTTGGCTGTGGATTCCTTTAGAAGTAATCGGAGCTCCATCGAAAATTTTCGTGCATCATGCCAGCTTGCATAAAGAATTAGAACCATGCCGAAAACTTGCAGCGACACGGGGCGTCGTATTTCAGTGACTCGATTCTCATCTTGGTCTAACAGGAGACGAGTCGGTATGCAACGCAAAAATTACTCTGAATGGCGGATAATGGCGGGTAATCTCGAATAATCCCAGACAATCTCGGATAATCTCAGGGTAATCTCGTCTCGTCACGCTCCGGATTTCTCCGATACCCCGCTCTACGCAGTACAAGATTCCGATTGGGCCACGTTCCACTTTTCCGGTTGACTGCAAAAATCCGAATCGTCCCCACGGTGAAAATGAGGAAACGATTGCTATTTCCTCACATTTTCGGGTTCGATGTGAAAAATCTCGATTCCACCTCGATTAACAACGATCCGTTTTTTTAGGAAATCGACGGGACAAGAACTTCCTGTAACCGAGCCGGCCATTTTGGCGACTGACGCGGTAATAATCGAAAAAATAACTTGAAAAAAAAAAAGAAGAGGGTTTAGCTTCACCTTGCTGACGATGTTGTGAACGGCCTTGTCCAGGCCCTCGAGTTCCACTATCGGACTGACTCGAAGTCCGATGAGCCGATCGAGGAACTGCAAAGGAAGGGCCGAGTCATTGCGGTCACGATGCAAAATCTGGGGTAATGCTGACCAGAGTAGAAATGAATACAATGAATGAGCAATAATGAATGAGTCAGAATACGACGGGACAACGCTAAGAATTTCCAGTGTAAAAAAAAAAAATTCATCGTTGCGTTCGCTTCGCTGGCTAATGCTGGATAAGGACATGTTCGGCATTTCATGTCTGGGAGAAACTGAGCTATTTTGCTATTGGCACGCTCACTATGCGCGTCGATTGCATTGGTTGTTTAGCGAATATCTTCGTCTGTTTCACGAAGAAGGGTGAAGAAAAGGATTTTCCTTCCGTCTCCTGTGCTCAATGCAGTCAACATAGAATGCTCAGTATTGCCTGCCGTTTCATCTCCTCCATGTTTAGTGCGACCCGTTAAATCTGCCTGCTGAGATTCATTCAACACCAGAGAGGTCGCACTCGTTTTCACGCGACGCCCGCAGTGCAAGACGCCTTATTTTACTCTTTCGTTGTGTTCATTTGACACGGATTGAACGAAATGACAGACGAAGAGAAGAGCGAAGCTCGTGACAGCGGCCCAGCTGAGGCAGCAGACGATGGCGAGAACCTGAACCCCGAACAGCCTCCCTCCTCCCCCGTAGAGCGTCCCCTTCAAAGTGCTGCTCACATGGAACCCGATGTCCTCCGTCTGCAAACGCCAATCAACGAAACCTCAACCCCCTTCGACACCCATCGCATCCGACCCTCCAAAGAACCGACATCCGAGAAGATCCCCGTGTTGAGGACTCCCCAGATCCCCGCCACCCCGTTAGTCGCGACCACCGAGCAGACGTCGTCCACCCCCGCCCGGCGTATGAGCTCCGCTGCGGCGAGCACGATCGGGCATGCCAGGCTCCCGATCACCACGCTCTGCCACGGTGAGATCACCGCACATCCACCTGTCACAGACATCCTCAGTTTGTTTTGGCCGTGGGGGATCTTGCATGCATCATTAGCATGGTCAATGTCAGGAAGTGAGTCATTACAAAAGTATGGCATCTCTGTAATTGATAACTTTTGGAATAGTCTCAATATATATATATATATTTTTACAGAATACTTCTGCAAAAACATCATAAATGTTCTACTCGAATTTCGGAGCTAAACATTAAACTACTTGTATCAGTGCTGTAGTATCTCTAGGAAGCGCAATATGTATTTGTTTTAGAAGCCTTTGATTGTCATGATCAAGACGAACATTAACGATACTTCAAACGTCAGTTCATCGAAACGGAATGTACAGGGTGACTCAAAAGTCCTTGGACACCTTTAATCTAGGGCTGTCACGATAGCAGTTTTCAAAACATCGATGCATCGACCTAAACTATCGATAGTGTATCTATGCATCGGGGGGGAGGGGGGTTGCGCCGGAGGATTCCATCATTTCTTGCCGCGATAGGGGCGCGGACTTCTATCCGGCTTCCATAATCTCACGCTTGTGATCGGGGGTGCAAGGGGAATGCGTGACCTTCGCAAAGAATAATGAAACCTACCATGCCTGCAACTATCGAAGATGACATCCATTCATCGATGGATGCATCAGGACAGTCCTAATTTTCTTCGTTCTACACTGTCTTTGGACATCGGCACCGGCAGATAGGAAACCTGCTGATGGTGCCATACCGGCGGTTGCCGAAACATAGGTACAGCCGTAGAATAAGCAACGTCCATGTAAAAAATTCACTTTGATTTCACCTTAAGTAGAGATGAAACGCCCCAAGGCAAGTTAAAAATTAAGAAAGTTAAGCCTGCATACTAAAGTGATAGGAATATACAGAGGGGGTTATCCAACGTACGTTTCGAAATCAAGGCAGTATAAGAACAGTCCACTTCCGCAGCATGCACCTGATGAGATCGAGC